AAGTGCCTGTTCATATCCTTTGCCCATTTTTTAATTGGGTTATTTGTCTTTTTGTTGTTGAGGTTTTGCAGTATCTTGTAGATTTTAAAGATTAGATGCTGATCGGATTTATCGTAGCCAAAAATGTTTTCCCAGTCTGTAGGTTGTCTTTTTACTCTTTTGGTGAAGTCTTTTGATGAGCGTAAGTGTTTGATTTTTAGGAGCTCGCAGTTATCTAGTCTCTCTTCTGGTGCTTGTGCATTGTTACTTATGGTTCATATTCTATTTATGCCATGTATTAGGACTCTAACGTTGTCCCTATTTTTTCTTCCATGATCTTTATCGTTTTCAACTTTATATTTAGGTCTTTGATCCATTTTGCGTTATTTTCTGAGCATGGTGTGAGGTATGGGTCTTGTTTGAGTTTTTTTGCAGATGGATATCCAGTTATGCCAGCACCATTTGTTAAAGAGACTGTCTTCCCCAAATAATGGGCTCTGAGCTTTTGTCAAATATCAGCTGCTCATAGGTGAATGAATTTATGTCTGGATTCTCAATTCTGTTCCATTGGTCTGTGTATCTGTTGTTGTACCAGTACCAGGCTGTTTTGACTATCGTGGCAGTATAATAAATTCTAAAATCAGGTGTAGTGTGGCTTTCCACTTTGTTCTTCTTGACTAATGCTTTACTTATCCAGGGCCTCTTCCCTTTCCATTTGAAGTTGGTGATTTGTTTCTCCATCTCATTGAAAAATACCATTGGAATTTGGATCAGGATTGCATTGTATCTGTAGATCGCTTTGGGTGAATTGACATTTTCAGAATGTTGAGTCTTCTATCCGTGAGCAAAGTTTGTTTTTCCACTCAGGCAGGTCTCTTTTGGTTTCTTGCAGTAATGTCTTGTAGTTTTCATCGTATAGGTCTTTTACATCTCCGGTTAGATTTATTCCTAAGTATTTTATGTTCTCAGGAGCTATTGTAAATGGTATTGATTTAGTCATTTCCTCTTCGAAGTTCCCTTGTTGGTGTAGAGGAATCCAGCTGATTTTTGTATGTGTATCTTGTATTCTGAAACTTTGCTGAAATCGTCTATTAGTTCCAGTAGTTTTCTTGTGGATTCTTTGGGGTTTTCTGTGTATAAGATCATATCATCTGCAAATAGAGATACTTTGACTTGTTCCCTACCAATCTGGATGCCCTTTATTTGTTTTTCTAGCCTAGTTGCTCTGGCTAGGACCTCCAGCACAATGTTGAATAAGAGTGGTGATAAAAGGCATCCTTGTCTGGTTCCTGTTCTCAAGGCGAATGCTTTCAGAGTCTCTGCATTTAGGATGATGTTGACTGTTGGCTTTGTATAAATGCTCTTAATTATATTGAGGAATTTCCCTTCTAATCCTATTTCGTTGAGAGTTTTTATCATGAATGGGTGTTGGACTTGTTTTTATTTTTAATAAAATATTTTTATTTTACTTTTTTTCATATATACCTTTACCAACAGATTGTTCCAGTCTTCATTGTGTTCGCCTTTCTTTAATGTCACCTACTGCTTCTCCAGCGTATTATTTAACACCTAAGTATGTATGATTCTGTTTAGCACAATTTAGCACATGACCCAAGCCATGGTGTTTTCAGTCACCTCACATGCCTGCAAAAGCTAGACAATGAATAAGGAAGACTGAAGAAGAATTGATGCCTTTGAATTGTGGTGTTGGCGAAGAATATTGAATATACCATGGACTGCCAAAAGAACGAACAAATCCTCCTTGGGAGAAGTACAGCCAGAATGCTCTTTAGAAGCAAAGATGGTGAGACTGTGTTTCACCCACTTCGGACACGTTATCAGGAGGGATCAGTCCCTGGAGAAGAACATCAGCCTTGGTAAAGTAGAGGGTCGGCAAAAAAGAAGAAGACCCTCAATGAGATGGAGTGACACAGTGGCTACAACAATGGACTCAAGGATAACAATAACTGAAAATGGCACAGAACTGACTCAACAGCACCTAACAACAACAATAGCACATTTTCCTTCAGCTTTTATTGTTTATATTGATATGTAAAATTTTGTTATAGCTTTTGGGGTTTTTTAAATACATTTATCTTTTTTCTCAAACTAGTTTGTGTGCTTCTAATAGGCAGGAGATGGTCTTATACATAAACAATTAAACAGTTATTGTTTTAAATGAATGTTACAGAGTACTTTTAAGTCTTCAGTGAAAGAGTGTTACTTGAAATTACTTTTCATTACTTGCATTTGAAAGCAAATCTAAGCATTATGTATTCAGACATTTGTTTTTGTTTTAAATAGACTTGGACATAGTTTTTATTTGTTGATGTTATGAGTTGTCATTTTCTTATTAACATTTGGATGTTGCTTGCTAGTTGTGATTCAGTATTATATAAATGCCTAATGATGAAAGAACCAGTTGCTGTTGAGTTGAGAGGAGTCCTTGGGTGGTGCAGATAGTTAAGCACTAGGCTGCTAACCAAAAGGTTGACTGTTTAAAATCCACCCAGAGGTGCCTCAGAAGAAAGTTCTGGCCATCGACTTCTGAGTAATCACAGCCAGTGAAAACTCTGTGGATCACAGTTCTCTGACACACATGGGTTTGCCTTGAGTCAGAATTAACTCTAAGACAACCGATGCGATTTTTAGTAATGATGAAGGAGCAATAGATGTTTCCTAATAATAATTATGCCATGTGAAAAAAGTACTTACGTTACTTGAGAATAGTTTTACAGAAACCTTTTCAACATCCCATTCAATTTTCTTTTTCTTTTTAATTGTCTTCTAGTTCATCATTCTTGTTGTTGATAGCATTGACAGGGAACGACTAGCTATTACGAAAGAAGAATTATACAGAATGTTGGCTCATGAGGTAAATTCTAAAAGCGATCTGTAAAAAATTGGAGTAAGGTGTCTGTACACTGGTATTGTTCTTTTACAAAGATTAATATGATAGGATGTTGTTTTTCTCATCATTAACAAAATCTTATATGTTAAATTGATTAAGTCTTGAAGTCAGAGTTTTCACTACTTTTTCAAACTTAGAGAAACAGGTTAATTTATAGACTACTGTTGTGGAAAAATATTTCAAAGTTAAAACTACTTATGAATGCCTTTTTAAAAAAGTCTGATAGATTAAATCGAGGCAAGAAAGAGGAAAATATAAATCTTTTCCCCTCAAGAGTTATATAACTGAAAATTCTTTAATGAATAATTTGAGATTTCTTAATTCTGAAATATTTTAGGTGTATAAAAAACTTAGGCAATAAAACATGTACTCCTCATTCACCCTATCAGGTATCTTATGAGACCGTCCCAGTCTGATTTCCTTCCCTTTGTTCCCTGAGGTATTCACTATCTTAAAAGTAGTCTTTGTCATATATGCATATTTTTATACTTTTACTACATTTTTAATTATCCATAAACTGTACAGAATATTGTGTTCCATGTTCTTAAAACTTTGTATAATGGTATCATTATGTACGTACCTTTCTGTCTCACTTTTTTTTTTTTTTTTTAGCACAAACTGAGATTTATCCTTGTTAATACATACGCCTTTGGTTCATTCCTTTTAACAGTTATATAGTAATCCACTGTATGAATATACCACAATTGATCTGTTCTTCTATTAATGAACATTTAGGTTACTTCTAATGTTTTCATAGTGTAAACAATACTGCAATGAACATAAATCAGTGAGTTTAGGTTATATAAAGAACAATAAGTAGTAAGTATTGCCCAGCCCCCCTGCACTCCGTACTGTAAATTTTGGAGAAATTTTGAATTAGAATATTGCTTATATAGTTTTAAGTCAATATTTAAGATACAGGTTTATTTTATTTTTAGCTTGACCCCTTTGACCCAACAATAGAAAAATTAATTATCTGACTTAACGTTAGTTAATCTGTCTTTATTAGGCTGAATTATTAAGTCATGGTTATTGGAGAGAATTTTTTTTTTCAATCAGCTTTTGAAATTAAATGTTAATACCTAATCATTTCAAAGGAGGAGGATTTTATTATAACTGTCCAGCAGTGTATATTTTACCCTGCTTCAGTGGTTTTATTTGAATTGTGATGTTCATATTGATTGCAGGATTTACGGAAGGCTGCAGTCCTTATCTTTGCAAATAAACAGGATATGAAAGGGTGCATGACAGCAGCTGAAATCTCTAAATACCTCACTCTTAGTTCTATTAAGGATCATCCATGGCACATTCAGTCCTGCTGTGCTTTAACAGGGGAAGGGTAAGTACTAACCAACCTATGGAGGAGGTATGCCTTTTTTCAGATTTCTCTATCCACATTTTTAGATCAAATTATCTTCCTCTTTTATCCTGTTTCTTTTCCTTTTTTTTTTTTTTTTTTGCTGTTTATAGTAAAGATGGTTTTTATATTGCGCCTCAGGCTTACAAGGTTGAGATAATTTTAGTAAACAAAATTGTTGACAAATTTCTTCTAACTTTTAATACCAATGTAATGTTTTACCAAAGAAGGGCATAACAGACTTTTTTTTTTTTTTAATTGTACTTTAGATGAAGGTTTACACAACAAATAGTTTCTCATTAAACAGTTAGTACACATACTGTTTTATGACATTGCTTAACAACCCGACATGTCAACACTCTCCCTTCTCGACCTTGGGTTCCTTATTACCAGCTTTCCTGTCCCCTTCTGCCTTCTAGTCCTTGTCCGTGGAATGTTGTGCCCCATTAATCTTGTTTTGTTTTATGGGGCGGTCTCATCTTTGGCTGAATGGTGAACCTCGGAAGTGACTTCATTACTGAGCTAAAAGGGTGTCCACGGGCCTCCAGTCTCTGTCAGGCCAGTAACTCGGTCTTTTTTTGTGAGTTAGAATTTTGTTCTACATTTTTCTCCAGCTCTGTCTGGGACCCCCTGTTGTGATCCCTGTCAAACCAGTCAGTTGTGGTAGCCAAGCACTATCTAGTTGTACTGGACTCAGTCTGGTGGAGACGGGCATAACAAACTTTTGGTTTAAGTTTTCATAATCCAAATTTGATTGCTGTTCCTTTCTTGCTTTTATCATTTACTGACTGAAAGGAAACTGGAGTGTTATCTGAATTAAAGAGGAGCTTCAAAGAAATTTCACATTTTCTACAAAGGCTTAAGCCTAAGCATTCTAGCTTTCTTTAAGAGTTCATCTTCTTTATTACTAGCTGTCCTTTTTGGAGGCACAATTCTAGACAATAAACAGTTGAGACAAATGCTATCATTGTGTCTTTTTCCTTTCCTAAGAGTTTGAGTATAGATACAGTAAGCCAAGTAAAACCAAATGTGTTATATATGGAGTACCCAGTTTTTTTCCAGAAACTTACTTATCCTCAAATCAACCTGACCTTCCTGGTTGTTTTTTCATAGTACAAATGGCTTGCAATATCATATCTCTGTATAGACTTTTTGACCTATACTTTAAAGAATGAGTCATAAACATTCCATTCTTTAGAATTTAGGAAGGCAAGATAAAGCACCTGTTGTCTTTCTATAGTTATTTCAGTTGTAGTTATGTACAGAAGAAAGGGAGGAGAGTGGCTGTTTGCAACCTTAATGGCAAAACCCCCAAATCTGTATCTTCAAGGTGAAATTGAAGCAATTTCACACATTATTCACTGATTAAGGTAATTTTAAGTGAACCTTCTGTTCAGTATTGTCACTGAAGTATATAATGATTGTAGTACCGACCTTTGGATAAGATTGAAAAATAATAAGTATGCTTTGCATTTTTAAGTACAAAGCTTCTGATTTAGAAAATACATCTATCTTTTGTTTCAGGTTGTGTCAAGGTCTGGAGTGGATGACCTCCCGGATTGGTGTGAGATAACTTTTTTGCTCGAAAGAGACTGTTCTATTTATTCTGTGAACATGAACATTTTTTCCTGGTACCATTGGCTGCTAAGGCAGCAGCATGTTTAATTTATAACAACACAAACCTCTATGAGCAACACTTGAATCAAGTGCAGCTGAACTGGAACATAAAAGATTTTTTGTTATCTTTTTTTAATGCACTAATCTTCAGTTGGATGAACATAATGTATAACTGTTTTCAGCAACAAAATTCTTCTGACTGCTTATTCTTATTATTCAGTGACTGCCTTGTAAGAAATGTTTGTCATATGTTTAATGTTTTCTGAGGTATTGTAATAACCCTAATGACCAATTTCTTTCATTTATTGACCCTCCCTCCCCCAGATAATTACTGGTTTAACAAAGTAGTAGTGAAAATCATCAGGTGTTGCTTGCAAACTTCTCTAACTCTAAATATTTGGCCCCTCTATAAACCACTTACCTTTTGGACAGAATTTAGAGAGAAAAAAAAAATGTGCTTAGAGAATATATACAAGGAAGATTAAGTATCATGGGAATTTGCCTTTAAATAAGTAACTTCCCCCACATCATTGCAAATCATAGAATAATTTTTAGTCAATATTAGCATGGAAATTAAATAGGTTATTTATTTATCTAAAAGAATTAAGGTGGCTCTTCTGCCTGTGAATTTGGAAATGAGGAAATATGTGTTTTTATTCACATTTGTCAAAAATTAATCAAGGTAAAATATTTATTTGAAAACCCAGCTTTGATGGTAAGTTTTGTTGGTTAAATCTCATATTTTTAGAATTTCACATTATTCAACGCATACATAACTATAGGAAATTATTAGAGCATACCAGCACTAAAATTAAAACAAGACACTTGAGGTATATTTTATTATCAATTACAGACAATTTTATTAACAGTAAAAAGTTCAACTGTTCCATTTGCAAGGGACATCACATCTTTAGGTACTGTTTTGGCCAATAGCTAAAGCAGAAGTATAAGTAGTTCATATTATTTCTTAAAATTCAAAAATTTTATGTGTCTGTAATAGCATTTCTACCACCAGCAGTATATTTCTTAAAATACCATGTGGCTTTCCTTGAATCTATTTGAGGTTTCAGTGTAATAGGCTTGAAGCAATTGCCATTATAAACATGGCAATCTTTCACTGGATTATAGACAACTGCTGAATTTAATCCTAGTTTTTAGAATATTACTAGAGAATCAAACTTAGCACACTGACAGCTTATAAATTAAATTTAAAAAGAAAAAAAGCCATAATCTATAAAAAGTTTATTGGATAACATTAAAAAGTTTTTGAGGCAGTTGTCTAATATGAACACAACCTAAACATTGCATACCTTAAATGAAGAGGGAGGACAAGTATTCTGATTTCAGTTCTGTTTATTTCAAGTATGTGATTTTGCTATAATGAAAAGGATAAAATGCACACTTAAAAAATACTTCATTTTTACAGTATTTTTTAAAAAATTTGGGTCAAATATAAGATTCAGTGTTCATAAGAATATCAGAATACCTGTTCAAAAGCTGTATTTTAATTCTAATATTTTTTATTTGTAAATTGATTTAAATTTTGCCTTGTTTTCAGGTGTATTGGGTTTATTATATTTAATTAAATTAAATGTGGTAACATTTTTCTGATTTCTCATTAGTGGTAGCACATCTCAAAACTGAAAAGTCAGAGTGAGGTTTCCTGGACTTTGGGAACTAGTTGTTTGACTTTGTTTTGAACCTTTTTCTTAGTGATCCTATAACAGATAGAACATAAGGTTTTTTTTGTTTTAATCAACAAGATGAGAGAAAAGCAGACATAAATCAGTATGGCTGCTTTGTGGTTTGTGGAGGAGGCAGAGAAGGAAAATTATGAAAGTACCATTTACCTACAGCACACTTTGCCTGCATTTCTATGTTGGATGTATATAGGTTAGCCATAAGTACTGAGGATAATTCTCAAAAGTCTGTTTTGAAAACAGCATATTCAGTACTCCTGTATGCATTCTTACTATGAAATGATTATTTGCCCTTTTTGTATCTAAATATGATTGGCTGGCTCAATTTTCTTCTATCAGATTATCTGCTTATTTTTTATATTACCACATCAGCATTATATTGAAAGTGTTTTTGATAGTTGAGTATATTTTGTCAAACAACTACTAGTATAGACTCAAATTTGCTATTTAATTTTTAAAATACAATTTATTTTATTTTCTAAATTCTTTTTAAAACATGTTTATTTTGAATTAGAAATGATTTATGCTAGCTGTGTATTGAAGATGAACTTGGCATCCAACTAGATTTTGTGCCAACAATTGGGAAAAGTTCAATTAGGAAGTTTATGTAAGACTTTTTAAAAGTATTTTATAAGTTTTCATTAGATATTTTTTGTTACAGTAATGTGAAAACCATGATCCTTTACTCCAAGAGAATGTTTTAGCCCAACCAAGTATCTAATACTTTATAAAGCATTAATTCTGTCATTCACTTTAAATCAATTAAAGATACTGTCTGATAAAAATGTAAATTTGTAATCCATTAGTGCCTTTATTCATATTTTGAGATACGTTCCCGATGGTGTACTATACCTGTTCTTTGGAGGTCAGATTGGCAAGCAGATTTTTTTAGCAATGAAATATAATTTGCATTTCACCCTCCCCTTCAACTCCAGGTATTTTCTAGAAAAGTTTCTAATAAGTAGTAGAAAGAAAGCAAGCACATTACCCTTGGGAGATTATTCTACATTTTGCTTTTAATTTGAGGATAAGGAAATTGAATTTTAACTGAAATCTTTTCAATATATTATTATAACTCAGTGTAAAACTTCTACTCTTGTAAGTTCAAATATGCTATTTTTCTTAATTCTGAACATGTTACTTCATATTTAAACTCATCATTCTTATTGAAGCCTTTTGAGAACTCTTTTAGTGATTAACAGGCCCTTTTACATGGGAATATATTGCATATTTTGAATCGTTAATATAATTCCTTGAAATCTGAAGTATATATAATCTCTTAAAGATTAAATGCACAATTTTTACTTTTAGGTTCTTGTGTTAGTATCTTAAAGGTATATGTAATCACTTATATTCTGTATTCATTAGAGGAAAGATAATAAATTCAAATTCCATTGCTAAAAATAATTTTTAAATGGACACCACCTCTATAGCCATAGTCATTTTGATTAAGCATAATTTAACCCTCTATATTTATATTATAAAGTGAAAATAATTATTTTCCTATGGAAATAGTGAATAATATAGGCAGTGTTGTAAATTGTAAATAATATCCTACCAAGAGTTATGGGAGATCCCCAAACAAAAAGAAGAAAGAAGACAATAAAAGCTTTTTTTTTGGCCTTTCGACGTATCTTAGGGAAAATTATAAACAGGATTGTTTCTGACTAGCATTCTCATTTAATCCTTAACTGTGTGAAACCGTATCAGTAGAAAAATGTGTTGGTATTATGCCTAGATAGATATGTTTCATTTTATCTATTACTTTGGATCTAAAAAACTTCACATCTAGTTCAATTTTAAAGGATACTTTACATTTTTAGGAATAATGTTACTTCAAGATACATAGCATGGTGTATTAGAAAGAATATTATGCTATCTAAAGAAGTGGATTTAAATTTTAATTCGGCCGTTAATTGTCTTGCTGACTTTAAATCATTTATTTACTGTCCATGTACTTGCTTTTTGGTTTTTGGTTTTTTTTGTGGGTTTTTTGTTTTTCTCTGCTGAGGAACCTAAGCAAACTAGAGCTCTAACATTTTTTGATTTTAAAATCCTGAATTCTTACATACTATCATTAAAATTGGAAAACCCAGAAAATAGTAGGGAAAGACATATAATATGAAATTAAATTCATTTCTGTTATTTGATTTCTACAATGGGCTCAAACAGCAATGTGAGGATGGTGCAGGATCGGGCAGTGTTTCATTCTGTTGTACATAGGTTGCTGTGAGTTGGAACCAACTCCATGGCACCTAACACCACCCATTTATCATTTCATTTAGTATGTGAATACAATCAATTAAAGTATCAGTTAGTAACTGGCATTTGACTTGAACTAGTAGCTAGTAACAATGCAAAAGAAAACAAGCCATATGCTAAGAAAATTAAGCTTCATATTATGTACCAGTGTCTGTTGGTGGAAATAGTCTCTTCTAGGGATTTTACCTTGCTCATTTTTTTGGCATTTACTACTTGAAGTGGTTAGTTTGTTCCATTTATTGGCTTTAAGTACCACCCCAAACTATAGTTCTGTTTGACTTTCTAGTATTGTAAGTATAGTGTAGTCATGATGTCAGTATTTTACAAGTGTCTGTATATATCTGAAAGTGGTTTATAGTCAAGATTAGTTTTTTTAGTAATGTTTAATCCTTATCCATTTAGTATCAGTATGGAGACTGAAATCCAAAAGCTAAGTTCCAAAAGGAGTATTTTCTTAAGCGTTCCAGGTAACCAAAGCTAAATAGAAAGGCCAATATGAAAACTATTTCAGCTACTCCATTTTAATTTTAAAGTCCAAAAATACTTTGTTCAGCAGATCTACAAACAGCTTTAAGTGTATATGGTTTGGTAACATGTTTGGGAGATGTTAATTTGGAGGTTTAGATACACACCCGGAAACAAAAGACAACAATAGGGTAGAATAATCTTCAAAAGGTTGTTAGATAATAGAAAATTTGAATGAAAACCATGAACTCCCCCATTTAACGCACTTAAAATTTCTAGAAAGTACAGTCTTCTGCTGTACAGCTGGATGGCCTGTGTTTTTCATTTGGCCGCAGGACATGAAGACTGATGAGGCTGTAAGAATTTGAAAGTGTAGTCACATAGATGCAGGTTTTGCATTTTTGTTTTAATCAGAAAGCTACAGTTTCCCCTGGAGATGAGGAAATAACATTTTTTTTTTTTTTTGCATATATTTTGGAATAGAAATAAAAGTTCTAGAAGAGTGAAAATGTTCTTTTGCACAAAGATTTTAATGAAAAATTACCTCATTTTTCAATCCATAAGGTGCTTTGTTCAGTTTGTGGGCGGTTGTACCATCCCATAAATACCCCTATCACCCAAAGTGTATTTGAAATATGCAGAATTTACTGCTAAGAGATAGCATTTGTTGGGGACTTGGTTTTGTTTTTAATTCTTTACCACCAGCAGGGCTAACATGGTCCATCAGAGTCACACATGGTCTTCATTAAAGCACACGGACAAGTGCTCAGTAATTAATCTGTTTGATTAAATCAAGTAAAGGAATGGAAAAATCTAAAAATTTCATTGATTATATTATACTGTGAATATATCTCGAGCAATGTTGGTGAGCTATCAGATGATTGTCAGTTGATCTTGATTGCATATAATTTATTTGCATGGTTTAGCCCTATTCTGGAGAAAGACTATAATCATTTTAATCTTCTTACATTTTCCCTCAGGAGATTCAGGGACTCTGCAGCCCCTGTCTTGTTCTCTTGGAGTAAACTGTTCAACGTAGTTATGGAAACTTTTAATTTCTATTTTAAAAATAAAAGTTTAGCTGCTATTATTTCATTGAAAGTGTGAAATAATATGATGGTTGTAATTTTTTTCAGTTATGGAAGAGCTGTAATTTTTGCCCTGTTCATCTGTTCCACAGCACAGTTTAAAAAACAGAGAACAACAAAAATTAAAAACAGTTACAGCCTTGCTCTTGCATTTGTTCTAATCAGGATATAATGATTATGATCACACATCACCATCTGAACATAAATTGGTGCTTTAGATCATTAGAGGAAGCAGCAGGCCCTGTATTCTAGACTTCTTGCCTCAGAATGTAAACTACTATAAAGTGTCTGTATTCATATTGATGTTCATATCTTAATATTTAAATACGAACTGTTGTTATTCATCAAGCTTCAGGCTTTCTGCAAAAGCTCTAACAATATATTAGCTACTCAGCTTGGTTGAATAGAAGATGGTGCTAATAAGGCCAAAGTTATGGATTAGATCTCTGTGTTGGCCCTCTGGTGTTGTACAGAGGGGGAAAAAGATCTTTCATGCCACAAACTGCTTTGAACCACAACTAACCCACTGAAATGTGTGCTATTCGTCCAATATTTTTTAAAGCATTAATAAAAGAGCAAATAAATTACTTAATGTATACATAACATCACTACTTGAAAATGGTTCAAAACATGTTCTTCTAATGGTGGGATTGTTTAAAAGATGTTTTGAAGTTTTAGTAGCTCATTACTTTCATAAAATGCCTATTTTATATGTTAGGTTGAAGTTCCTGGGACTCATGGTTTTTTATTTCTGCCAGTATGTTGTAATGGGTTGCTTGCATGCTTACTTACCCAAGTAAAAAGATGCTATTTGCTCTGGAGTGTTCATCTTTTAGACAGGTTTTGGCTCATTTGCAATCATGGTGCAATATAGTGTAACATTTGTTTTTGGTCAACAGTTTTATTTTTGTCATAATAAATAATTACTTTTCCAATATGAAGTGAATCCACAGTGTTTTCTTTCAAAGTTAACTTGTTTTGACAGGCTCTTTTTTGCAAAGTGATAGAAACTCTAAGCTAACAAAGGGGGAGGAGCTTACTTTAAGGGTGAGGTGTAAGGTAGTGGAGGGCTATGGAACCCAGAGTCAGGGATACCACTGGATTGTGGGGACAGATAGGGACCAGAGGCGGGGACACTGAAAAGAAACCAGAAGTTACCTTTCTCAATTTTTCGCTAGACTGGCTTTCTCTCTTTGCCAGTCCACATGGCAGATAATGACCAAGTCTAATCACTACTATATTTTTATCTTTGTATAAGGAAGAATTTAGATGATCATTAGATTCTTAGTTACAATTCCATATTTCCCAGAGAAAGAGTTCATTAGCCTATGCTGGGTCAGTTACTCTCCTGGTCCAAACAGCTCTGGCCAAGGGGAGACGACATTTATGAGAGAAGGGGAATTCCTGTGGACTAGGAAGGCAGTCCAAGTGGGTGTGAAGATTGGGACCAGAGGCGGGGACACTGAGAAGAAACCAGGAAGTTATCTTTCTCAATCTTCACTAGACTGGCTTTCTCTGTTTGCCAGCCCACATGGACATTGTGACAGATCGTCTGGACATTGTATCCACTTAAACTTTTCCTATTAAAAAGATGAGATGTGAGCTATTGTGTAGGATAACAAATTGTCATTATTTAGATTCCTCCAAAGTAGCAGTTTTTAATTTTTTTTTTTTAATTTACCTATGTCTTTAAGAATGTTAACGATATCTCCATAGAAAAATTGCACAAGTTCAAAGTTACAGATAAATGTTAGGAATTTCAGGGATCTCAAGCTAAGAGTTAGGCTGCATGATAGGACTTCAGCAGCTGAACATTCAGAATTCCTCTGAGAAACAGCTGAATCCCATAAGGTTTCATCCTGCCACCTTTCTTTTAACAGCTTTATTGAAGTATAATTAATACACAGTAAGCTACATATTTAAAGTGTACAATTTAATAAGTTTTGATGTGTGTACATCTGTGAAACCTTGACCACGATCAGGATAATAAACATAAACATCACCCCTAACAGTTTCCTCATGCCCCTTTGTCCTGCCTTCTGCCACACTCCCCCATCCCCAGATAACCACTGCCTTGTTCTCTGTCGCTATAGATTGCATTCCATAGAATTTTCTACAAATGAAATTATCTGTACTCTGTGGGGTTTTTTTGCTTTTGAGTTTTTTTTTTTTTTTTTGGTCTGCTTTCACTCAACACACTTGGAGATTCATTCACTTTGTTGTGTGTATTAACAGTTTGTTCCTTTTTATTTCTGAGTAGTATTCTCACAGTTTGTTTATCCGTTCGCCTAAGGGTTGACGTTTTTCACCTGTTATGAATGAAGCTACTATAAGTCTTTGTATAAACGTATGCTTTCATTTCTCTTGGGCAAATACCTAAGAATATGGTTAGGCGTACATTTAACTTTTTAGGGAACTGCCAAACTTTTCCAAAGTGGTTATGCTATTTTCCATTCCTGATATCAGTGTCTGAGAGCTCCAGTTGGTCCACATTCTTGCTAACAACTGGTATAGTCAGCCTTTGCTTTTAGACATTCTAATAGGTCTTTCAAGGTCCTCGGGTGGTACAGACAGTTGCACTCGATTACTAACCTAAGGTTGGCAGTTCTCATCCACTCAGTGATGCCATGAGTCCTGGCAATCTGCTTCTGTAACAATTAGAAACAAGAAAACCCAGTGGAACAGTTTTACTGTGTAACCCATGCGGTTGCCATGAGTCAAAATTGACCCAATGGCAGTGGGCCTTGTTTTTTGTTTAACAGATCCTCTGATTGTGGGTTTGTAATTTGCATTTCCCTAATAACTAATTATGTTGAGCATCTTTCACAAGTCTATTTGCCATCCTTATATCTTTGGTGAAATGTTCAACTCTTCTCATTTTTTAAAATTGTTTTCTTATGATTGAGTTTTGAGAGTTCTTTATACAGTCTGACTATAAATCATAGCTCATCTGATTCGCAGTTATTTCTCAGTCTGACTTTCCTTTTCATTGTTTTAGCAATGGCTTTTTAAAATATCCTGCTAAATTTAATGCTGCTTTCTAATATACAATCAAAACCCACTTGCTGCTGATCAATTCTGACTCATAGCGACCCTATAGGACAGAGTAGAACTGCCCAATAGGGTTTCCAAGGCTATAAATCTTTACAGAAGCAGACTGCCACATCTTTCTCCCATGGAGCAGCCAGTGGGTTAGAACCGCCGACATTTTGGTTAGCAGCCAAGTGCTTTAACCACTGCACCTAATTTACAGATGGCCAAATACAGGGGCATCATTAAACGAGTTTTAGCTAATCATGTGGTTAAATTTACCTAAATTCAAAAAATCAGTTGCAGTTGAGTTGATTCTGACTCATGATGACCCCGTGCGTGTCAAAGTAGAACTGTGCTCCATAGGGTTTTCAATGGCTGATTATTCAGAAGTAGATCGCCAGACCTTTTTTCTGAGGCACCTCTGGGTGGATTCAAATCTGCAGCCTTTCAGTTAGCAGCTGAGTGTGTTAACTGTTTGCACCATCTAGGAATTTATCTAGAAATTTTCTATATAGCCTCTACATATAATTTATGTTTAGTTCTCTTATTCTGCATGTAGTTTTCTGATCATTAACCTAAGCTTTCTTGGAACGTGCTTCATAGGAGAAGATTTTTTTTTTTCCTAACAGAGTAGCCTGGTATCAACATATAAATTTAAAAACATATAATTATATGGGGAACACTTGTCAAAGATTTATTTAACTCACAAATTAAGGAACTATTAGGCTTGCAAATTACAAATGCCCAGTTCAGTGGTAGAATTCTTGCCTTCCGTGTAGGAGACCCAGGTTCGATTCCTGGCCAGTTCACCTCATGCACAGTCACCACGCATTTGTCAGTGGAGGCCTGAGTGTTGCTATGATGCTGAGCAGATTTCAGCGAAACTTCCAAACTAAGGCAGACTAGGAAGAAAGGCCTGGCAATCTATTTCCAAAAGTTAGCCACTGGAAGCTCTCGGAACCACAGTGGTCCAATTCGCAAATGATCATGGGGCTGGAGCAGAACCAGGCAGCGTTTCATTCCGTTGTGCATGTGGTCGCCATGAGTTGATGGCAACCAACAACAACAGGCTTACAAAGCTGATTCAAAGGATAGGTACGTATAAAAAACGTATAAAAAACTTGAAACCTGACCAATTTTCTACATGTTAACATTTAACTTTGTGAAGTCTGGGCTGTAATAAATAATAAATAGTTAAACAAAGTTACATTTTCCCCTGGAAAGTCAGATGACCTTTAAGCAGGCTTGGTAGACAATGCCCTAGTATAACTTTGAAAGGGCATGCAGTAATCTTTTGCCTTGTTTCCAAGTTCTGGATTTTTTTAAACAGTAAATTTTTTTTTCATGTTGATTAAAACCCTGGCCTATCAAAAT